GCTTGCTGTTCGTTCGGTTCAACTTCAACGAACTGCGGCAAAATGTATTTTGCGCCGGAAGTGCGTCATCTAGCTTACATAAAATTCTTAACCAATAGTAACGAATTGCTGCTGCAGCGTGCTGCGCATGAAAAAGCACCTTTACGGTCCCTACTGTGATTGGCCAATTCGCTTACTGATTACGTTTTACGGCCTTACGTTTTTCTATGTGTCATGGGCTTTACTCGGAAAGTGTTTAATGAAAAAAAATTTTATTATAGTGTTTGGAAAGCTCTTGAGGTAATCGATAAGAAAATAAAATGGGAGAGGTTCCATTTAATAAATTAAAAGTGACCTTTATATGATCTTCATACAATTATTCAAGGTCAAATTATTGGCAATGCCTTATGTCCCCCTCAAAACTTTTATTTGAAACATTTTTTCGTATTCTCCACATTTTTTGAAATATTTGCCTGGGGCGATTAAAATGAAACACACACGCACACGCACACACATACACAACATTTAATTGATATATTTAAGCTAAAGTGTAATTAATATTGAATAATTAATTGTATCGTATAATGAATGCGAGATTTAAAAGATGTATTAATAGAATTTTTTACAAAATAAAAAACCACCAGATATTTAATATATTTATATAATATTTATTTCAATTATTTCTGCTTCTCTGCATATAAATAATATTTCTGCAAAAATTATTTCAAATGCATTTATAATTCATCTCTGTCCATGTCAAAGTCTGAATCATAATTATCGTTATCAATTTCATTATCACTATAATCGTCATCTTCCTCGTCGACATAATTTTCATTGCAAATATTTGAGATCTTTGTGCACAGTTCTTTTTTCTTATTGTATATGCCGTCAACATATAATGATACAATATCGTCTTCAAATTCGTTCACTATAGCGCTGCACTGAAAACAATTAACCTAAATTAATAACAAAGAAGATACTTTCAGCAAACATAAAACGTAACAAACAGCACTCACATAATGCTCGAGGCTCTTATTTAAATCACCATCTTGAATTATGTCTACTTCGCTCATAATAGGATTCATACCACCAGATGGAGACATAAGATTAAAGATTATTAACTGATTATCGGACTTTCTCGTTGCCCTCACGTAATCTGACAGTTTTTCACAGATATTGTCCAGCAAAATCGAAATATGTATTTCCGATCTACCTAACGGCACCTAAAAGTAACAAATATCAAATTCTATACTGAGAACTTATACAATATAATTCTCCAAGAGAAAAGTATCAAGAGAAAAACTGTGTTATGTACGAAAATTAAACATACAAAACTAGGGAATAGATTTACAAGTGTATAAAAGCAGCAAAAATATTCTTAATAAAGTTAACATTAATAATTTGTCTTTCCTTGATATGTACTTCTTTCATCTTCTTACCTTTTTACGTATAGTATTTCCATCAGCATCCATTCTAAAATTACCTACGTCAACTAATTTATTTGGATTAGCATTGAGAACAACAGTCTCCAATTCATTCATAGCTGCTCTACAAACTGTAAGAAGAAAAGTTATTATTGTTATAATTTATGATTATTATATTAAAATATTATATTAAAATAGAATTATATCATAGATATGAACATTGATTTTTTACCTAAACATTTCAAATGCTTTAGATCAACCTCTTGGGGCTCCACTATTACATTTATACAAAACAGACCCAGAAATAATAGTAAAGCCTTCATCTGTAAACGTAAATTTCCAGTCATATGAAATTCTTCACAAGAAATAAACATGCTCACTGTGCGACTTTTCACACACAAATAATTCCAAATAGAATATCTTACCTTGTGCGTTAAGAATTGAACAGGTTACAATAATTGTTTAGTTATATATTACTTTTATAATAATATATTTAAATTTTTAGCACCACAGCACGCGACACGTGTAATGTACATCTTCTAATCTTGCGTTTGATGATGTGTTAAAACAATCGTAATTTTCGTATAAACGAATGACAGTTTGCAACGTGTATTTCTGATGTAATTCCGGTAATGCCAACCGTTCAACATTAAAACAATTTTTAAAAACTTTTTTCCCAAACGCTTCTTTTTACTTGCAATTCGTCCCTAATAATAATAATTTATAGACAACGATATGAGCTATTTATTAATTTTATTAATGTACAAAGATATAAAAACGACATTTTAAAGTGGTGGATTGCCATAGCAGAGAAACCTTGAGAGTGGACATCCTCAGGGCCGGTGACATCAGTAGGGTCGGTCTGGGGCACTCCATACAATTTTCTATCTATAAAATTCCATGCATACCTCGTCAAATTCGGCGCGTTCAGCGGATTCAACAGTTGAGTGAGCGCTCGCTATTATTGGTGCGTTCTTCTAGATCAAAAATTCTGATTGGATGATCTAAAAGAATACACCAATAATAACGAGCGCTCACTCAACTGTTGAGTCCGCTGAACACGACCATTGGCGGTGACTATCGTGGGGTGTGTGGAGTATTCCACACGTCAAAATTTTTTGAAAATAACAAAGCGTTAAACTAAAAATAATTAATTTTTTTTGGAATTTTCACGTTATTACAATTCTTCGTTAAGATAAGATCGTGAGGGACTTGTAGTGGAATTTTCTAAATGTCTTATCGATGATTGTAGCTATCGTTAATTAGCGACAGCCGATAGCAGTTGCGGGATTCTCTAAACGTTTTATCGATGATTGTCGCTATCGTTAACTAGCGACAGTCAATGGCAGGACAATCCTGAAAGAAAGCGCGGCTCTCATTGGCTGCCGCTAGTTCACGATGACAATTATCGAAAAAATGTTTAATTAAAGAATTCCGTAATTGGTTTTGGAGTATAGAAACTAATTCAAATACTATTTAACAATACCGATGACGTTGTGCAGAATTCTTTTTCTGTAATGAGATGAAAAACATTTGCGTTCTACGATGCAGCAAGCTACTTCGAGATTGCTGAAATTTTAGATATTGACGCACTTATGGATAAGTTCAATGTAAAAAATAAAATTCGGAGTTCAATGTTTGCTCTACAGTACAAAATTAAATTTATTAAACTTTTTTCATTGAGTTTTGTTTTTTAAGTTAATTTAAGTAGAGTTAAACACTATGAATATTTATAAAATATTTATAATTTTATCGGTCATCATTTTTTACGATTGTAAAGAGATTTTAATATGGAGATTAAATGAATTCTGGAAACTTTTTTACTCTCCTCCCCCCCCCTACTTCCTAAAATCAAGTTGTTCAACTTCACAAATGGCGAATTGACGAGTCGCCACCCTTGGACATCCCGACTTTTTTTCTAAACTTCGTAGGGTAATGTCCACGTTTTCTTACGGTTCTTTTCCGTACTAAGTATTGTGTGAATTAGACAAAGACGAATAATCAAAGTTGATTTATTCGTCATTAAATAAAAACGTGGACATTACTTTACGAAGTGTGGTACAAGACCGGGATCGCCGAAATGTCCACTACTCCACTTTCAGGTTTCTCTTTGGTCCTAACTCTTATTATAGGAATATTAAGTCGGTTTATGTAACCGATTTATTAACAAGAAAGTTGCAAATTAAGCGGCAAAATATGAAAATTAAAGATGTATACTTTTACCATTTATTATAAAATAGTAACAATCATGAATATATCAGGATTATAAAAAATATAACATAAAATTTATTTATTCTGTCAAGAGAAAAGAAACGGTTTACAGTGGCAGATACGATATAAAGAATGTTAATATTACAGAACAAACACACATACATCGCATATTAACATCTTACAAATTAACGCATGGTTATCGTTAAACAGAATGCTTGTAAGGTTGTAATACCTAATGATACAAAATGCAAACGATCATCAGAATTTATCTGGAATTATGTACAATCATTCTCTTTAAAAATACAAACCTTCTGATTAATTATTATAACAATAGATGAATTCAAGCATTCAAGCCAGCAAAGTAAAGCCAAGTATAAAATAATATATCAGAATAAAAGTTTGTTAAAGGAAATGTACTGTTTCTTTCTAGCTTATAATTTATTGCGATTCAAACCATAATTTATATTACTTTGTTTAAGTATTCAACAATATATTATTATAGTTAACAATATTTGTTCAGGGAGAGCGTAGCCGCTTTGCCAACTTGAACACACAACATCCAATGACCGTTAAATTTAAGTATTAATTATAGTCTAATCACAATAAAAAAAGAGAGAGAATATATAGTTTAACGTCAAAAGCGCTTCCTTGTTTCGTAAAACTCTGAAGCTGCAAACTCAAAATTATCTTAAAAGCGATTATGGTTAACTACATCGTTATTATTAGGAATAAATGTTCCAAATAAAACTACTAGACTAGAGAACGGAAATAATATGTATATAATATGTGTGTGTACAATTATTATCCATTATCTCTTTAGAAAAATAGGTGACATACTTAACTCCTATATGGGCAACAATAAAAAAATGTTTATTCCCTGCATTTTTATCCAAGATATTCAAATTTCTGCTCCATGACAATATTATAATAATATTAATGTATTATTATTATTATTATTATTATTATCATTATTATATACATATTTATATAATAATGTTATTTCTTATAAATATTTTAGCAGTGTTGCCCAAGTAGGGGAATAAAAAATTTCGCACAAATCCTCTCAAACTTTCCTATGGCACTACATATTATTGACACACAGCTGAAAATTCAATATTACACAATCTCAATAAGATATCTTTAAAAAAATACATTTTGTCAGAAATATTATCCGGTAACATTTTCATCACACTCTTATACAACAATACAAACGATGGTGCGAAACTTTTGATATAGTGTATATATTTATAATATTCCTTTGCTCATCTTTCTTGAAAAAAAACTTTATTAGAACATTAAGGATTCCTAGGATTGATAAAATCCGATACTGAAATCAAGTCGTAACTACAGTGAAGAGTTAAGGAGACCTAAGATCCAACCCTATTTACTCTGCAAATGTTGCAGTAAATATATTAAAGTATCGGATTTGTACCCCTCCCTTCGTTTATTCTCTCGATATAATCGAGGTTCTTCATGTGCGTCTCTAATAGTCAAATATAAAATATTGTTCCAATAATTCTTGGCTTACCATTCAATTTTTTAATAGTTTTGTATTTTTTAAAGGCATACAAAACTTGCTGACCTTTCATTATTTGATATATCTGTGATAGCGTCTCCTTTTATTGAATTTGCTTTACTGTCATTTTCTTCTTTGTTCTCTAAAATGTTGTCATCTTGACTTGAGGAAACAATCATATCATTTTCATCAGTTTCAAATGTTACATTCATTTTAATAGCCTCATTCTCTGCCTGTATTGCTTTTTCATCAACAGATACAGTAACTTGTCCTTTTTTCTGTTTTCCTTTGGCTTCATTGACGTTTTGCTTTCCGTTCACTGTCGCAGTTGCTTTCCCCACATTTCTTTTCTTTTGTTTAGGCTCTGCCATATGTACTTCTCCATTTTCTTTGACATAGTCTTCAGACGTTGCTGCTTCTACCTCATTCAATTCTCCTACGTGATCGTCACTGGTCTCTTCTACTACAGCATTAAGTTTTTTTTTAGAAGCAGCTTTTTTTATAGTCTCTTTTTTTGTATTTTTCACATTTTTTGTTTTTGGATTATCTACCAGTATTGCTGCATTTTGTGCCTTGCTATTTGGTTTCTTCTTTTCTGTTTTCTTTGGTGGTGATTTAACAATTTCTCCTACAGGATTCTTTCTAGATCTTTCTTTAGAGGTCACAATGGCTAAAAATAACAAAAAGTTGTGTACAAAACAATACTACTTAAATAACAACTTTTACATAATAGATAATGCAAATAATATAGAATGTTAACAATTCTAGATTTAGCCAAGAAAATCTTTGGCTCAATAAATATTAATAAAAACTTCAATATATAAGTTTAATCAATTTTATGCTCATTTATTATTCACTTGTATTTATTGCAAATATATTAAAATTATGTCTTGTAAGAACTGAATGTCTTATAAGCTGCAGATTTCTTGAGAAATTCTACTGGAATATTGTTAGAATTTATTAAAACTTTGTTAGAATTTTCTTTAAATGAGAACCCTTCTATTTTTGCTCTCTGCTAATCTTTATTATAGCATTTTAGCAGTAACAATCCATAATAAGAAAAAATAAACTTTTCAAAAAGAACTTACATGCAACAGTTTCTATTTTTCTTTGTCTGTCGCGAAGTTTCTTACTGGTCTTCGCTTCGTCCTTCTCCTCCTCTCCTTCCTCCACAGTAGTCTGTGCCTCCGAAATAGCTTTATTTGTGTCCTCCACATTCCTACGTTTCCTAGGTACCTTTGTAGTGGGCTGTACTGACACATTATTTTCTTCTACCGTCTTTACAGGACGTTGACGAGGCCTCTTAATAGATCTGTTCTTGTTATCAGTATTTTTCCCTTCCAAATCTTCAGCGCTGTTTCCCGCATCCTTTGTCCTAGTCTGCTTCCTGGCAGCTGGTACCTTAGCCTTCGATTTCGTCACAGTCACTTTTTTTCCCGCCTTTTTCACCGCAGCCGCAGCTTTGCTGCCACGAGTTCTTTTCTCAGCCACCTCCTTATTGTCATTCTCTGTCGTCGTTTTTTCCGGCTCCTTATCGATTTGCTTTTTAGATTTACTCTTCGTACTGGTTTTCGCAGCGGCCGTGGTGGCAATAGCATCAGTGACATTTCTCTGCCTACTGCGCGACTTCCCCGCCGACTTGCTAGCCACCTCGTTGTTCTGCTCATCCGCCTTCGCTTGCCGGCTTCTACCCTTAATCTGCTTCGATTCGTCCGCAGTCGGTGATTTTGCGGCTACTCTCCTCCTCTTCGGCGGAGTCACGTTGCCATCAGCGGCGGTTACGACACTTTCCGTCGCCGCCTGTTTCGCTTGCCTGCGTCGTGCCATTTAGCAGATTTACCTCTGACTCGAATGTCTCGCCGGCTTGCTCCGGATGGTAATGATAACGTAGCTGTTCGAGCTGGACCACAATACCGCGTGCAGCACGCTCACCGTCGTGTCTCGAAGCAGTTACGAAGAACAGTCCGCAACAATGACTTGGACGGAATTGGCCACGAGGAACGACTGGAACCTTCCCGCAAGTGCTAGAGTGCTACTCTCCTTTACTCGAGGCACCATCCACCGGGCTACGTCGACAATGAGCGAATGAGCAGCGCAACTGCGTTCCAGAATCTCTAGATGCCGCACGGGCAATCGAGAATCGGTTTTGCGAATTAATACAACCGTCGCCGATGACTGTCGAATCGCAATAATCACGAGGACTTCCTTCCACTTCCTTCTCCTTTTCCTATTCTTCTATTGGACGTTTTATTTTGGCACTTCCTCAACAGTGCATTCTGAAAATGTATATATATAAATATATAAATATTTATATAATTCGACGTACTTATGATGTATAGATTGTCAGTTTGCTTAAATTCGAAATATTATTGATTTTTAGTATGCCAATTATATTTCGAAATATAAGAGACGAGCCTCTTTTTCTTTCTTTTACTTCCTCGCTTCACCCCACTCCTTCCTCTCACGTTTTTCTAGCAAACTACCTAATTTCGGCTGCGCGAAATTTTCAGCATGGAAATCAGGCGCGTACGATTGTCCATAAATTTGAACTCGAGAAAGCTGAATTCAAGAATTCTTCTTCTTCTATTTCTAGATATAATTGGCCCGGGTCCTCGAATGTATTCGAGGATGCCGCGAAGTTTCTTAACGAGCACAAGAAAAAAAGATTTAAAGAATCGTCTTCGACATATATGACTTTAAAACATATCACGTGACTTTCAAAAGTTCTGACGCGCGCCTAGGTAAAATGGATTCTTCACGTTATGCGCACACACCTTTCGTAAAAGCCGCAGCACACACTTTTGCATAAAGGTAGTACATACATACATTTTCACGATGTCGCTCGACGCTCGTTTTCTGCGACGCGATGACGTCATGTAAGTCGCTAGCGACGTGAAATGTAGTTCGATTTTTCCAACTACAAGCACAATATAACCACGTAGCCGGTTTGACCTTGACCAAATTTCAGTACGCATGCGTGAATTTGTACATTTAGCAATATGGATGCGTCCAGAGTACACACATTACAGGTAACCTCAATTTACAGTTTCATGACGGGGTGCTTTCCAGCAAGGACGGAATCAGACACTTGCTGGATTCATACTGCATCCGATTTTCGTCGTACGACGACTCTCTAACCAATCAGAAAAATCGTATCATCGAGACGAAGCAAAATTTTGTTTCCTGATTGGTTGCAGAGTCATCGTACGACGAAAATCGGATGTAGTGTGAATCCAGCAACTGTGTAAAGGTGCTTTTTCATGCGCAGCACGCTGCAGCAGCAATTCGTTACTATTGGTTAAGAATTTTATGTAAGCTAGATGACGCACTTCCGGCGCAAAATACATTTTGCCGCAGTTCGTTGAAGTTGAACCGAACGAACAGCAAGCAGCAAGCGGCAAAATCGAGAAAGCGTACAATATGTCCGTCGTTTCATTATGAAAATATTATTTATTGCAATAAATATTAGGAAAATAAACGAAAAATGGCTTCGGATAAGGTACGGATACATGTTTGTAAATTAGATCATTTTATACTTTACCACAAATTTGAAAAAGTAAAGTGTAAAGTATAAAATAATCTAATTTACAAACATTCGTACCTTATCCGAAGCCATTCTTCGTTTATTTTCCTAATATTTATTGCAATAAATAATATTGCCTCGATTTTGCCGCTTGCTGCTTGCTGTTCGTTCGGTTCAACTTCAACGAACTGCGGCAAAATGTATTTTGCGCCGGAAGTGCGTCATCTAGCTTACATAAAATTCTTAACCAATAGTAACGAATTGCTGCTGCAGCGTGCTGCGCATGAAAAAGCACCTTAACACAGAGAATCGTTTCATCCTTGTTTAACATAGGTAAACAATATCCTTATTGTTGGATGTAATGATTCACTATGTTACACTGGGTCTACTTGTGTTGTAGCTGGAAAGCACCCCCATGTTCTTCGTGTGACTTTCGTTTCTTGAAATTAATAATAATAATAAATTGATCGTTATTTTACTAGAAAAGAGTGATATAATCATCATTAAAATGCCTACCTGATATTTATGTATTTTCTTCAGATTTATCACTCAAATTGAATGTTGCATATTTATTAAAATATTTTTTTAATTATATTTATACGTACATATGAAGACACAAATAATCTAACACCCGATATTGCATGTATATTACAAAATAAAAGAAATAAGAAGTAATGAGAAGACATGAAAAGGGATGAGAAGGTTCTTGTTCTTGTGTTATATTTCCGTGCACGTTTTAATCGCAGCGCCGATACATTTAACAATATGGTGGTATACCACGTGACCTGGAACCTACTACATCAAAGGTGCCGACACTCAGGCCGGTATTCATAGTCAGTTCTTATTTGAAGACTGTCTTAAGTAATGTCTTATGGGCCTTCTACAATAAGCCATATTATTATTATTATATTATATTATTATATTATTATTATATCTTTAACATTATGTCTTGTTTTACATGTATATATAAATCTGTTATTTTTAATCATATAAGTTATGTCAAGAATGTTTTATGTAACGTACGCAAAAAGCATCGAAATAAATAAATTGTTAAAATAAATTGTAAAATAAATAATATTGTTGTATAAGATATTTTCGAAAATATTTTTTGTAGTCTCGTGATCAAATGTGGATTATATGTGTAACCATAGGCGTTTTTTCGTTATCCAACCAAAAACGACCGCGATTAAGGCTATCTTTGTTTTCAGTGATCAGAAGACAGAGATAGCCTTAAGTCGCGACTGCTTCTGGTTGCATAACGAAAAAACGCCTCATATGTAATGAGAACGAAGTACCCACACATGAGTGTCTTCAAGGATATTCATTTTATTACAGATGATAATTTGTACTTTTACCCTGTATTAGGTAGTTTATATATATACAGGGGTTGGACAAAATAATATGAACACCTGACATATACACAATATTTATTTATTAATAAGGTGTTGGGCCACCATTTGCTCGTAGAACAGCTGCAATTCTTCGCGGAATAGACTCGTAGAGTGTCTGAATAGTTTCTAACGGAATGTTGTCCCATTCTTCTACCACAACATCCGCCAATTGCTTCAATGATGTTGGAGATGGAAATCTGCTCCTTATTCTCTGCTCTAAAACTCCCCACAACGGTTCAATTATGTTGAGGTCTGGTGATTGTGCTGGCCAGGGAAGATGTTTGATGATTTCGCAGCTTAGCGTTGGCTTCCGTTATAAGGGGTTTTGCAATTGCAGCCCTTCCATGAATGTTAGCTTTGTGGAGCTCCCGCCGTACTGTTTTTGTCGAAACAGTATTACTCAGGTGAGCGTTGAGTTCTGCTGTCACTTTTGCCGCGGTAGTTTTATGTTGTCTGGCCACAATCCTTTTTAATGTTCGTCGGTCTCTGTCAGTTAACTTTGGGTTTCGTCCACTATTCCTCTTCGCCGATGATGTTTTACCATGTTTTGTGTATGCTGTCATTACCGTGGATACTGTCGCTCGTGAGACGTTAAACAGTTCAGCCGTTTTCGTCACAGACGCTCCCGCTAACCGAGCACCAACGATTTGTCCTCTTTCGAAGTCTGAGAGATCACACATTTCACCGATCGCTTGTTATAACCGTCGCAGAACAAAGCGTCTAATACATTGAAATATAACCTACAAGACCTGCCACGTAAACTGTGCATTACATACGCGTCGAACTATTTACACGGAAGCAGTGTTGCCAACATGCAACAAACTGTACTATATTGCATGGTGTTCATATTATTTTGTCCAACCCCTGTATATTATATATATTTTACTTTAGTTAATTATAAAAATTATTAAATCTGTTGTTTAATAATATTTTCAGAGGAAAAACTATTGTTAGAAGAAACTTTTGATACAGGGCGCTGAAACAATAGTATCTGTACCTTTTCATAATGATAATCAAGATCAGATAAGTATAATAAATTCTTGAAGTTTTAAAACATTAAATGAGAAAAAATTGATTTATTTTACAATTTTTATATGTATAAATTAAATTATCTAATTATAATTTGTTCTTATAGTTTTTTTTTGTTCTTATAATATAAAGTCATCAATGTCAATAACAGTATATTTATAGTTATTTACTGTCCTTGAATAATATACTTTAAACAATTTGTCTCGTTAGCTCTTCTTATTATAGATATTTTTAATTACATGAGAATTAAGTTATTCATATTATGTTTGTATACATTTCATTTTTTGTTTCAGAGAAATTCGATCCATTAATAATAACTTCCAATCAAAAGAGTGCAAAGGAAAAACTGCCACCTGAGAAGGAGGAGATGCTAATATTAGAAGTCCAATGCAGAGAACCACTAATTGGAATTTTAGATTACCTTTCATTCAAAGGAATTGCAGAATTACAAGAGCTTTGTGAGAAGAAGTTTTTAAAGCTCTTAATGGTTATATAAATGTCTATTATTTATAAAATATATTATTAAAAAAAAAACAAATAAAATAAAAAATATATATAAGAACATAAAATTACATTATGAAATCCATGTTCGCATCTCATTTGAAACAATGGATTAATCCAAAACGGTTTTTTAGTATAAGGTCGATGCCTTTTTTTACTAAATCAAAAATAGCTGCCGATATCGCTAATCTTCTTCTCCTTTCTCTGATATTATAATTATTTATAATTTTTACACACTCCGTTATTATCCAATTATAACATTTTTCTGATTGTGACATTGTTCGATTATATTTATTTTGGTGCAACTCATAGAATTCCTCATCTGACGCTACTATATTTAAATCGCGTCGCTGGAAAATCCTTTTCATGTTTAAAGCTAGTCGCTAGCGACAATCCAGTCAGGTGACTTCTTTATCGCTCAAAACTAGAGAGCCTATAATCAGAGTGGCGCCATACGGGTATCACTTGTGATTGGTCCGCCATGTTTTAGCTATTCCCCTATAGTATACGTGACGCTCCCTATATAAATGGCGCGCATATGTGAGAAACGGAACGCAGCCTATATCTCTTTCTCTCTCGCAGAATTTCGCTAAAACACGGGTTATGTCGCCACTCTGATTATAGGCTCTCTACTCAAAACGAGCGATGAGC